CGTTTCAGCAAGTAGATATCCATATATTTAAATGGACCTTGTTGGAGCATACGTAATCCTAAAATGTAGCATCGTACTACAGATGGCGTTTACCGCGCCATTTGTGGTATTTCCTAAAACGCGCTGTTAAGACAGCAGGTAAAAGTTGGTCTGTGTGCTGTCGGAGCTGTCTGCGACGCGCTGATGAGATCCAAAAAGATCGAAATCGCGATCCGCGTCTGGCAATTTCGACAGAATACAGACCATTTCGAATTATTTTATTTTTTATAAGATTATTGTTCACAAATGGTTAAGGATGTGAGATATTCTAGTTTTAGGGAAATTCGAAGCTATTGCTCAGAATAGGAAAGATTGAAGATGCGTGTCCAATCAGTCTTAGGACGAACGTCTAAGGTCTAACGACTGAGAAACTTGATGTTGAGGAATCATGTATTCCGTGTCTTTTCTACAGACCATAGACACCTGTATTACTTTAATTGTGTCGTTTCTATCGTTAAGTTTGCCAAGTGCTAATAAATAACGGTAATGAATTACCACCTAGTTCAACGTCAGAAACTTTAATATTAATGTTCCAAAACTGGAATACGGAGAACGCAACTTTCCATATTAATTAATACAGTTTCCCTACGTCTGAATGTGGAAACGTCTAAATCAATCCTTTATTTGTCCGGAAGGTAGTAAATTTGATTAGAAAGTTGTTTCCGTTATTGTCTACTAAGAGTTAAAACGATGATCACGTAAAATGAATTAAAGTTGGAAACGTGAAATAATTATATCATAGAAGGATGAAATTACGAAGTGTTTAGAAATTCCGTACTCTCCGTCAACCAAACAATAGCGGGTCTAAGAAAAATATTCAGTTTATTAACTTCTAAAAGGTGATACCGCTAGTTATAATAAATGACCAAATCTATTTCAATATTTGAAAGAATATGAAGCTAGGAAAAAAAAGTAGGGAAAGAGTGAGCATAAAGGTAGGAGATGAAAGAACAGAAGAAATCGCTAATTTTCGGTATCTGGGGCGACAGATAATTCAGGATTAAAGGAGCATTAGAGACATAAAACAAAGGATAATGCAGGGTCGAAATAGCTTTAACAAAAGGAAGTCATTTCTGAGTTTGCGAACAGTTCATTTACAAAATTCGAAAAATATTGTTAAAGGTATATATAGATATCTGGAATATGGCTCTGTATGGGTGCGAAACGTGGACGATGAGCGCTGTGAAAAAAGGGTTGGAAGCGTTCGAAATGTGGTGTTACATGCCGTGGATACAGCAGGCTAGAAATGAGGTTTTGGAAGAGTATTAGAAGAACAGGGGGCGCTACGGAAAGTCAGTAACAAATAGGTGAGACAGGTTGATAGGACACGTTCTCAGGCATGAAGAATTAGTTAGAAACATATTAGAAACAAAAGCAGGGGTTATGAGGGGTATAGGTAGACCTAGAATAGATAATTGTATACAAATAGTTAAGGATGTGGGTTGTTCTAGTTTAAGGGAAATGCGAAGACTAGCTCAGAATAGGAAAGAGTGGAGGTGCGTGTCCAATCAGTCTTAGGACTGACGATCCTATGATGGAGACGATGCAATAACTGAACTTATGCATATTAGGTACTTATCTAGATAATGTACGAGGGTGGATTGATAAGTTTCCGGCCTAACCAAGAGATGACGCCACTAGGCCTACCTTGAGGTGACATTCTATAGTACCATCCTTGGATAGCTTGTAGCTATAGTTTCAGCCCGATCTCCTTGCTANCCATTGTCGACTTTACATGTTTTTTCTTCTTTTTTATCAGCCACAGACTTTCAATTTTTTCTGATTTATTAAACATATATGCAGTTAAGTCGATACCCATTTGTACAATCTGTACCAATTGTTGCTATTTCGATTAAGTAATATTTACAGTAGCGTCACCGCTCTGATCAATTGCAGCCAAACTCAAATAGAACAAGAGGAAATTTTTTGCACTAAAATTTTCATTGTAAATGTAAAAGTAGCTAAAGATACCTTAATATTAGTATGTGGCAGATGTAAAATTATGGTTAGAGCTAACATAAAAATAGGGCACGAATTACTACAAGTTGCCGATTTTTGATATTTAAGAAGTCAGATAACTTAGAAAGGAAAAAGTACCAGCGGTACTTATAAAATAAAAAATAGCGCGGAGTCCGATCTTTTGTAAATTATTTTTTTAGTTATAATGATTTTCCTTTATTTAATTGCTTCTTTGTATGCGTATAATATACAGTCGTTAAGTTTAATCTCAGTAGGTACATTCCTAAGCTTATGAAAAGGATACAATAATTATTGTGTTGAGCTGTGCGTTTTACAGCTCCACCGGCGTGGCGGTTATGCGCATGTGCATGTTTACGAAGGAGCGAAACCACTTTTGCTTATATAGTGCTGATAAAACCTAGAATTTGTTTACCCCGTGTGTGTTTGATGTTTGTTTTCCTTAACATAACTTTAAAACAAGCAGCGTCCCCGCATATTTTAGCTGAGATACTAAACTGTGGAACATAATATATAAGTGGTAATTATAGATAGCTGAGGTGTGTTAATGAGTTTGTTGTTTTTCAGTAGTAGCGGTCACATTTTAATGGCATTTTTACTGACCGCTGTTGAGAGGATTTAGTACACGTTTGTATTTAAACTGTGGAACATCATATAAAAAAGAGATGTGTTAACTGAAGCATGCTATTGAGTTTGTTCTTTTTAATAGTAACGATCACATTTTAATGAAATTCGTACTGGCCCCAATTGAATGATTTTTATTGTAGGTGGCTAGTTATACGTAGGTACCTATAGAATTTTGTAAGCAGATCTTAGACTTTTCATCGAACTGTAGTAACTTACCTGGAAAACAGTAACCGTGGCCCATAAGATGTCGTTGAAGTGTTTTCTGTCACATTCGCATTTCTTGTCTTTCGTTACTATCATTACACAGCTGCATTCTCTGACGATGCCGTCTGAATCAGTGTACTTGCAAAACTTACCCCCAAACAGGTACATGCCCAGGATACTGTAGCCAAATATAACTCAAATTATCCCCGTAATTTCACTTTTATGTCGAATATAATTCAATATCAATTTAAAAAAATATTATAATTAATTATAAAACGCGTCATTTGTATGTCATAGGATCGATTAGCATTCAAGGTTACAGAAGAATTCGGTTGGGTTAGGTTAGACGGTGACAAGTTTTAGGGCTTCTAGTCTGAGTTAGGCCAGATTGGGTTAGGATGATCTAGCATTAGTGTCCGACCGAAAGTTTCGGCAAAAGAACCAGTTTCGGTTTAGTTTCGGTTTCGGCGACAAACCGACCTGCTCAGTCATGTTCGGCGCGTTAAATTCCATCCAAGCGAAGTATTTTAAGTATTTTTAAGGCGCAATTAAAGTATTTCCTTAAATGAGGGAGCGGCGTTGTTTAACTCTGTATTTTTATCGTACAATCTCGTTATAGTAAAACGTCTTTACAAATCGGTTCATTTGAAGTAGGCGAAATTGGTAATAAAAAAAAAAGAGCTAAGTAAGCACCTAAAAAATAACCCCAAATCCATTATTTGTATTATATTGATAGTCCTTTAAGTCTAGGATAACAAAAATTATGATTGGCTTTGTGGACGGCTGGCTCCGTATTATTTATTTTTTATATATTAATGTGAAAATTAATTTTCATTCTTTTACCTACTATAAACTACCTCAGGTTAATGAGAAAAAAATTGCTGCTGTTGTCACACCCTCGCCGGGAATCGAACCCGGGAGCTTTGGCATTACGCACCAATGCATGCATGCAACAGCAACAAATTTTCCCTCATTAACCTAAGGTAGTTTATAGTGGGTAAAAACATGAATATTAATTTTCGCATTAATATTTGATATTAACCACTATTAAATGTCAAAGCCTTTCATAATATATAGTATTTATCTTTTATCTTTTAATCCAAACGCTTTTACGGCGTTTTGAAAGAGATTGTTAATTTATATTTATTATTTTTCTAATTCCTTTGCTTAGAANAGTCGATTTATATCATTATGCGCATTTTCGATATTGTTCTTTTTCCAGTTTCGAAACAAAGTAATAACAAATTCGATGATCGATTTTTATTAATTTTCGAGTACCTAGAGATCGAAGAATGTTCAAATTGTATTAAATGATATTTTTATTTTGGAAAAAGGACTTAAGGGTAATAACAATTGAAGATACATTGTAATGCAGCTCATGTTCGTTGGTAGGGGTGACATAAGACATAATTGTAACAATAATTATTTTCCTGGTCATACGCACTTAATTAATCTCCTATAGTGAATATTTGTTAACATTCACAAATTAGATGCGAATGATAAATGAAAAAAGGAAAAAAGACATTCCCAGAAAAGTACATTCGTCATGCAAAAAATGCATATCTATTTAGGTACTAAAACTGTCAATCCATATAACTTAACTTGTACTTACCTTTCGATCAGTTGAAACGGCCACACCTTCATTGATATTTAATTGCAGAAAAGCCATCGATTTTATTTTGTTGTATCGATAAATAAAGAAACAAAGCATTTAATTTAGATTTCGTTAGTTAGTTGGTACAGCAGCCCAAAATGCAGAAAGCTAATCGTGTTAACAACAAATGCACCAATAACAATAGTATTAATAACAACATTAGAAATAACGTGTCCAAATGTTGATTCAATTATTTTTTTTTCGTTTCATGTTACGAATATTTCTAATGTTTAGCGCTAGATGGTGCTGTACCGAAGGTAATAAAGAAGTACCTGAAAAACGGTAACAGTGGCCCATAATAAGGTGTCAAAATTTTTCCTATCTTTGTCTTCTTCAGCAGTGCTGGTACATTTACCTTTTGGCGTTTTTTCTTCGCAAAACTTGCACCCGAAAAGATTCATACCAAGGATACTAGAAAATCCAAAACACTACATTAAAAAGATGCACTTTCCATTGTCGACTTTACATGTTTTTTCTTCTTTTTTATCAGCCACAGACTTTCAATTTTTTCTGATTTATTAAACATATATGCAGTTAAGTCGATACCCATTTGTACAATCTGTACCAATTGTTGCTATTTCGATTAAGTAATATTTACAGTAGCGTCACCGCTCTGATCAATTGCAGCCAAACTCAAATAGAACAAGAGGAAATTTTTTGCACTAAAATTTTCATTGTAAATGTAAAAGTAGCTAAAGATACCTTAATATTAGTATGTGGCAGATGTAAAATTATGGTTAGAGCTAACATAAAAATAGGGCACGAATTACTACAAGTTGCCGATTTTTGATATTTAAGAAGTCAGATAACTTAGAAAGGAAAAAGTACCAGCGGTACTTATAAAATAAAAAATAGCGCGGAGTCCGATCTTTTGTAAATTATTTTTTTAGTTATAATGATTTTCCTTTATTTAATTGCTTCTTTGTATGCGTATAATATACAGTCGTTAAGTTTAATCTCAGTAGGTACATTCCTAAGCTTATGAAAAGGATACAATAATTATTGTGTTGAGCTGTGCGTTTTACAGCTCCACCGGCGTGGCGGTTATGCGCATGTGCATGTTTACGAAGGAGCGAAACCACTTTTGCTTATATAGTGCTGATAAAACCTAGAATTTGTTTACCCCGTGTGTGTTTGATGTTTGTTTTCCTTAACATAACTTTAAAACAAGCAGCGTCCCCGCATATTTTAGCTGAGATACAGAGATAGATGAGTGATACATAGTTTGTATAAAGAGCAACATGCAGTTATGAAGCTTGAGCAGTAATGGGAGACGCAAAATTAGAAGTGACTGATGTTAGGTACCTAGGTAATCAGATAAGTCAGGACATAAGGAGTACTAAGGATATAAAGCAGAGGATAGCGCAGGGTCGAGTAGCCTTCGATAAAAAGAAGTCAGTTCTGTGCTCGCGAACGGTTAATTGAGAAATTATTGCTAAAGGTGTATGTTTGGAGCATGACGCTGTACGGGTGCGAAACATGATGGTGGGCGTGGCGGAAAAGAAAAGGTTAGAAGCGTTCGAAATGTGGTGTTACAGGCGATTGATGAGGATACTGTGGATAGAAAAAGTTGAAACTGAAGAAGTATTAGAAGAAATAGGAGAACAGAGGACTCTATGGAAGTCAATCAGGCGAGATAGGTTTGTGGGACTAGACAGAGACATATTAGAAGTAGAAACAAGAGTTAAGAGGAGTAGAGGTAGAACTATAGTAGAAATCCTATCACGTTGAGGTTAGCTACGCCGGGATTCGTTTCAGCAAGTAGATATCCACACAAGTGGACCTTGTTAGAGCATACGTAATCCTAAAATGTAGCATCGTACTACAGATGGCGTTTACCGCGCCATTTGTGGTATTTCCTAAAACGCGCTGTTAAGACAGCAGGTAAAAGTTGTTCTGCCGGAGCTGTCTGCGACGCGCTGATGAGATCCAAAAAGATCGAAATTACGATCCGCATCTGGCAGTTTCGACAGGATACAGACCACTTCGAATTATTTGAGTTTTTATTAGATTACTCTTCACAAATGGTTAAGGATGTGGGATATTCTAGTTTTAGGGAAATTCGAAGCTACTGCTCAGAATAGGAAAGATTGGAGAAGCCTGTCCAATCAGTCTTAAGACGAACGTCTAAGGTTTAACGACTGAGAAACTTATGATGTTGAGGAATCATGTATTCCGTGTCTTTTCTACAGACCATAGACACCTGTATTACTTTAATTGTGTCGTTTCTATCGTTAAGTTTGCCAAGTGCTAATAAATAACGGTAATGAATTACCACCTAGTTCAACGTCAGAAACTTTAATATTAATGTTCCAAAACTGGAATACGGAGAACGCAACTTTCCATATTAATTAATACAGTTTCCCTACGTCTGAATGTGGAAACGTCTAAATCAATCCTTTATTTGTCCGGAAGGTAGTAAATTTGATTAGAAAGTTGTTTCCGTTATTGTCTACTAAGAGTTAAAACGATGATCACGTAAAATGAATTAAAGTTGGAAACGTGAAATAATTATATCATAGAAGGATGAAATTACGAAGTGTTTAGAAATTCCGTACTCTCCGTCAACCAAACAATAGCGGGTCTAAGAAAAATATTCAGTTTATTAACTTCTAAAAGGTGATACCGCTAGTTATAATAAATGACCAAATCTATTTCAATATTTGAAAGAATATGAAGCTAGGAAAAAAAAGTAGGGAAAGAGTGAGCATAAAGGTAGGAGATGAAAGAACAGAAGAAATCGCTAATTTTCGGTATCTGGGGCGACAGATAATTCAGGATTAAAGGAGCATTAGAGACATAAAACAAAGGATAATGCAGGGTCGAAATAGCTTTAACAAAAGGAAGTCATTTCTGAGTTTGCGAACAGTTCATTTACAAAATTCGAAAAATATTGTTAAAGGTATATATAGATATCTGGAATATGGCTCTGTATGGGTGCGAAACGTGGACGATGAGCGCTGTGAAAAAAAGGTTGGAAGCGTTCGAAATGTGGTGTTACATGCCGTGGATACAGCAGGCTAGAAATGAGGTTTTGGAAGAGTATTAGAAGAACAGGGGGCGCTACTAAAAGTCAGTAAGAAATAGGTGAGACAGGTTGGTAGGACACGTTCTCAGGCATGAAGAATTACTTAGAAACATATTAGAAACAAAAGCAGGGGTTATGAGGGGTATAGGTAGACCTAGAATAGATAATTGTATACAAATAGTTAAGGATGTGGGTTGTTCTAGTTTAAGGGAAATGCGAAGACTAGCTCAGAATAGGAAAGAGTGGAGGTGCGTGTCCAATCAGTCTTAGGACTGACGATCCTATGATGGAGACGATGCAATAACTGAACTTATGCATATTAGGTACTTATCTAGATAATGTACGAGGGTGGATTGATAAGTTTCCGGCCTAACCAAGAGATGACGCCACTAGGCCTACCTTGAGGTGACATTCTATAGTACCATCCTTGGATAGCTTGTAGCTATAGTTTCAGCCCGATCTCCT